CCCCCCCCTCCCCCCACACACCACGTTTCTTGACTACAAGCTCTTTACAGTCTTTTTAGAACCTCGCTAGACTTGTTACAGGCACTTTATATGCGAGACAGACAGTTTGCTCGTTTTGTTATTCAAATGGTTCCATTACACTTTGCACGGCGGCTGCTTATCCTAGAATTAGTGGGACTTCGATTATACAAGTTAGTAGGAAGAACACATTGCCGATCTGTCGTTTCCCCTGTCAGCAAAAACTCACCCGATACAAGGTTGAGGCTAATGACGTAAAACGAAAACGAAATTAATTGTTTGATTGCTGTTTCAGCGATGAAACGACGCGCCACCATTATTACCTGCAACTGCGCGACAATGTCGTCAGGCATGGCGGCGGCGTGGAGAACCTCCATCCTCACCATCCCTTACACGAACCGTCTATCGTCACGCCGTTGCTCACACTCGCGGGTCTTGCCCTACAAGCCGATCTTGGCGACTACTCCGAGGAACGGCATAGGCCACACGCAGGATCTGTGGGATACTGCAAGCCCACCGATTACCTTCCGCCACACGTAAGTGCCATTTTTTTTTTTTTTTTTTCCACCACCGTCCTCTTATAATTCTTAACGTGGAATTTCCTGATACGAGGTTGCCTCAAACAACGTATGCAAGTTTTCTCGGAAGAAATCGTTGACTGCATCATCTACTGAACATCGACTGTATCATCTAGAAAAGATGCAGTCGACCATTTTTTTCAGATCAAATTATATTATCAAATATCGTTTAGCTTTGTTCTGCAACAATCTTTTCCATCTCTAACTCGATGGAAGATGTGCTTTGTATTTTATTGTATGATTCAAAGTACAATCTTCGAGTGTTTTGAATAAAGATTTGTTTCACTTAATTAATATTATAACGTAGTTGTATCTTCGAATTTTCCGTGAATGAATATGTAGAAATTTACGCTCTCTGAAACGAAGAAAAATTACAGTTCTCAAGCTTGATAGAATTTCGCGGAATAATGAGTAATTTATTTCAGAAGCCACACTGTTTTATGCATTTGATCGTTCGGCTGCAATTCGTTAATTTTCAAAAGAGATCGAAGAAGGAACATGCATACGGTATTTTGTCCATTTCTCTACGTTTCGTTTTCGTGAAGCTACTCTACTATTTGTCAAACTCAGATATAACGTATCACATTGAAAAAAAAATCGCAATTTCCTAATTATCAATGGAAAGGAGCATCACATTTCTAATAATCACGTTACAGTGATTTATACATTTACTAATACTTTGGTCGAGTGAAACGTAAAATCCTCGACACTCTATAGACTTACAGGCTTACGGTCTGTTTTTCTACGATTCAACGATTGGAATGTAGGCCTATTCCAAGCGTCGATATCACGATCGTAAAGGCCGCTGGATGCCGATCTGGACAGTTTAATTCGAAACGCGTCTACGAGGGCTTCCTCTATTAAAGCACGCCCGTTCCGTGGCTGCAGCGGACGCGTATAGTTATTCAATTCTCATTATAAACGTAATCAACGATTATGTTTCTATGCTAGATGTGCCTCGAGTCGAATGTGCTCGCGGTGCTCGCGGCACAGCACAGAGACAACCGAGGCTTATCGAGGGAGGAGGCAGAGCTGCAATACATCCGGGAGGCGGTGCTGCTGGAGGCGCCGCTCAACGCTCATCTCTATCGGTTACGAAGAAGCAAGAACGAGGCAGGCCCGGGACGTATACTCCTGGCGATTTGCGCTCGCGGGGTGCGAGTCTACGCCGAGGAGGAAACACCGCGGGTCTTCGCTTGGAACAATATCGGCAAACTCTGCTTCGACGTTAGTCTCCGTGTTTCGTCAGTTTTAGTAGTTAGAATTACAGTTTATTCCTTTTTCTTTTGAATTACTTCGAGACTCACAAAGTGATCGAAAGTAGCTGTGGAAAATTTAAAATTGCGGATGTACACGCGTATTTTTATAGAAGACAGATGAAGGAATATAGATTTATTACGTGTGCTAAGAACCTGTTTTTTATTTTACATATGTATTGCACATGCATTGTTCTTACAATTTATATTTATCCGTTCGATTTGATTTAGATTATCGGTTAAAACTCGTAGAATCTTAATTTGTAATTATAATAATTTATAACTGCGTACAAAGTCAACAATAATAATAAATATCGGCTGAAGATTCACATTAAAGAAGAAAATCATCATTTAGTTTTTCAATAGTTTCTGATTATTTTCTATTCCAATAGTTCAATTGGACTAACGCGTGTGCTACAATAAATGTGGTATTGTCAAATATATATTTTCAAATTTTGTATTGTATATATAATTGCGCGACATATTTTTAAAAACGAAATTGAGCTCTCGTTTTGTAGAACAATCTTTCCAAAATTCTTTACACTTTTACATTTTACATGCATAAACATCCGCAGTCTAGTGGGATATATGATATAACGGAGATATTTGTTGCATTACCATTGCAGCGCAAGAAGTTCGAGATACGCGCAGTCGATCAGCCGGACAAGCTCACCCTCTACAGTGGATGCGATGATAAAAGCAAGCTGCTCCTGGGTCTCTGTCGAGATACCCATCAGTTCTCCATGGCCATAGCACCTAGAGTAAACGAGGCGATAAGGCGAGAGGAGGAAGGTCAGTTCGATTTTATTGGGATTTAAAATTAGTAATCTTCACACTTTCTACCAATCTTAGTGATCAATTTGTAGGAAGACAAATTTTCAATTTCCCAACATACTGCCATTACAACATGATTTAAGGTCCTAATAAATCTGTCTTGTGATAAATCATCGAACGACATCTACAATTTTGTCAAAGTCTTGCGAGTTTTACATCGAACGTGCGAGGTTGAGAACGTTGGCGATAATAAATTCCTTCGAGCCAGAAGCACCGAGCTACATCTGAAGATCGATGTTGTCTTCTTGGATTTCACAGAGAGGAAAGTACTTCGCGACTGCTACATGTATCCTGCCCGATGCAAGCTGAGTTTAACGGCACGTGGGGCGCGCGGTGACCAACGAATTTCTGTTATCTCCAGCACGTCGTCCAATACGACTTCTGGAATTGTCAGCGACCGGGTTCACAGCGAGGACGAGCCAGATACGGCGCCCGCCTCGACCGAATGTTTGCCACGTCTTACTGAGAACACTTCGTACTCCGGTGTTCAGTGTGGTGTTGTGAACGGCGCGAACGCGGACGTCGAGGATCGTTCCATGCCGTCATCGCCAGTCTCCGCCGTCGACGGTAAACTTGTCTCCATTCTACAACCGTGGAATTCAATGATGATGATATTGTAATGATAAGCGCGAGGAGAATTGTAAGGGAGAGATACTTTGTTGCATTTTTTTTTTTACTTTCGAATCAACTCAATTTCTCCTTTGAATTTTTATAAGCGTTTATGCGTGAGATGGATTATGGATTAAATATAAAGGTAAAAGCCCTTACGTGCTTGTGTTAATTTTCGAATTACTAGAAATCACTACGAATAAATGATGACGTATGTAAAACAAGGAATTGGTTTCCAATTTTTTCTTTCATTTTATCACCAACCATTTGCTATTGAAAATTAATCAAAAAAGTCTTCTGCGTATACATTAAAATGTGCAAAAATGACAAATAAACGTATTACGTATTACATATTTTAAGAGTATTGAAGAGAATATTTCGTAAGAATTGACTAACATGTAGCTTCCAACGTTAATGTAGGTATTTAATATAGATAATATATACGCATATTAATGTAGGTATTCCAGTCGTACAACCTTGGAAATAATCACGCAAATTTCAGAGGTCGACGGTACAGACAGTACTCCCACGACTGCTGCGTTGCGATTGGCATCGAGCGCGGCCACGGCTGCTGAGGGGTCACAATGTAGCAGCAGCTGCAGCACGGTCGTGATTGTGAATGCACCTGCTGGTGGACCGCCGCGAATGCGGCGCACATCCGCGACTTCCAGTCTGGAACTCGGTTACTCGCATACGGCACAGAATTCAGCGGTTTCGTCGGAAACTGCTAGTTTTCCTGGCGCCATTTATGACAGATGCAAAAAAGGTGGCAAATACGCAGGTAAGTTTCAAAGGAAATAACGTACAGCTTG